GTCCCCTCATCTTCCCTCACAGCCTCTGTGGGTGCTCTCCCAGGTGGGTGTCCCCTCACACCCTCTGTGGGTGTTCTCTCTGGTGGGTGTCCCTTCATGTCACCTCACACACTCCGTGGGTGTCCCCCGTGGGTATCCCCTCGTGTCCCCTCACACCTTCAGTGGGTGCCCCCCGGGTCAGTGTCCCCTTTTGTCTCCTGACACCCTCTTTGGGTGCTCCCCGGTGTGTGTCCCCTCACAGCACCCCTCACGCAGCCTCCAGCTGCCCCCCTGGGTGTCCCCTCACGCCCTCCATGGGTGCCCTCGGGTGGATGCCCCCTCAGAGCCCGCACCCCTGGGTGGGTGCCCTGGCCTGAAGCGGTGCTGGGGTGGGAAAGTTCATCCCAATCCCATGCAATCCGTGCAGGGCAACTGCGGACCCGGCATAGGGATAACGAAGGCACCTGCCCCTTTCCCGGAAACTATGGAAATAGGTTAATAGGAAATAATTTTTATTTTTTTTTTTAATGAAGCTGGGGGCTTAAGTGTGTTAATTGTGTTTCTTCAAGGTAATTAGGTATTCTAATTTCTGTCTTTTTGAGTCTTAGCTGCTTATTACAAGGAAAAATGTTTTTAATGTGTGTTTGCCCTAGTGAACGTGTTGGAGGCTACTTTAGGAATCGTGCGTTCGTTCCCGTGTTTCTGAAAGTTGGGGTTCCGTGTCATGTCAGGCTGCTTGTGAGGTGCTTCCCCAGACAGTTCATGGCCGAATACTGGACGGTCGGGAGCGCAGTGCTTTATTGGCCTGCGCAGAGCAGAAGTCAGTCTAAACACCAAAACTACCTTCAGTTGGCTAAAAGGTGGAAGCAAAACCAGCATGTGTTGGGTTGCTCCAGGTACTAGCCAGCGAGGAGGGACGTTCTTGATCACAACGCTTAAAATTTTAATTCTGCAGGAATGTTGTTTTGAGATGAGTTATCGCTGAGGAAAAGAAAATCAGAAACGGATATCCAGGGCTTGGGTTAAATGTATTCTGCAGCAGAGAACCAGTGAACGAGGCAGCGAAAGCATTACCGGTGGGGTGTTCGGAGCTGACTGCTCTGCAGACGTTGCGTAAGGCATGTTCAGGCTGACCCTGCCTTGGTCAATAAGATTTCAAGAATGTTCTGGTCTACTAACCAGATGGCAATAAAACTGCTCCCTGAGCGCAAGTCCCAGAATAATTTTGACAAAAGCATTTGTCATGTTACGCTACGTTCTCTGTTGGAGCACCACGCTCTTTTTAAAAGTGATGAAGAACTGTCTAACCTGGTTGTCTGTTATCTGGTTCTCAGTAGCAAATAAATTTAATTTTTGAAGAGTTTAGAATCATGAATTCTGTAAAAATATTTATTGCCACTGATTAATTGGAAACCACAACTAGAGAATGATTGACGAGGGCAAGGTCAGAGAGGATTCAGAGGGAGAAGCATGTCCCTGTAGGTCGGCAGAGTCCAGTGCCACGCTGCAGTGGGGACTTGCTGGGTTTGTGTGGGAGACTGTGAATTGGGCTGAAGAACCGCCCTGCTGCTGTAGCTTTTTGTTGGGGTTGCTGTATGTGCCAGCCAGATACTGTTTGATCCCACCGAATGATGCTGCAGGTGAAACCTTCAGCCCTCGTGGGTCAGCGTGGAAGTTGTGAACTCTTTGGGGTGTTATCTGGCATTTTCTGGGTGTTTTTTTTCTCTATTCCACAAAACAGGGCTTCATTCTGTTTGCCTAACGGTTGGTTTGTGTTCCACCATCTCGGATCACGGGCAAGCTTGCTTCACGTCAGCCCATTATATACCATGTGGGCATAGCCGACGTTGTTTTCGTTGTAAAACTGAAAAGCTGAGCTATGCGTGCCGGGAGTTCCTTAAAAAGGGCAATTATGCCAAAAGAAACACAGGGAGCAGAATATTTTGCAGGGTTCTCCACTCCCACCAATTCCACTTCATGATGAAAGGTTCCCTTAGAATTTTTCTTTCGCTCTTGACACAAAGTTCATTGCAAAAACATTCGAGCGACGTTAGTGCAGAAGGGGATTGTGTGCGCCCGGGCACTGAGCTGTCGTCAGAGTGATTCTTTGTAGGGCTTGACAATACGTGGTTATTTGGGAGCGTGCGCAAAAGAGAGCGTGACCTTCAATGAAAAGGGCAGGGAGAGTTTCAGAAGTAAAGGTAGTTACCTGAATTGGATTGTGGTTGTGCCAGAAAATGCTGAAAACCACAAATGATGGGTGCTTTGGCTTATCCTTAACGGCAGTAGTGACTGATTTACCCGTTAAAAGTGATGTTGAGGAGCAACTCCTGTGATTATCTGGCACAGTAAGTCTGAGTGTTAGTAATTTACGGTCTGTGCTACCAGTATTATTACGTGGAACTTTGAGAAGGTAGATGCATAATCAAAAATATTTTTCTCTTTCTTTGTTGTAGGATGGAAGAGGGACCGGTCTGAAAACTCTTCCGTTGTGGACTTCGCTGCTGCCTGCTAGAATGTTCCTTATGAATGCTTCTCCTTTGGTAGCTCTTCAGACGAAATGGGAGTCCTTTGGACCAGCAAGGAATTGTAGGTATCCCGTTTGCTTCTCTGAATCTGAAGGGGACGTCACTAGAACCTCCGTCAGTGCGAAAGTTCAGATGATCATAAACAACCTGCAAAGTCAAGAGTCTCCCCTGGGTATGAACAATGAGTATGATCGTATTATGCAGAAGAAACAAAAGGGAGAAAAGGGCAGTAGTAACAGAGTCGCACCTAGCGCCCCGTTGCTGCGGAAGCATCCTCAATATACCAGGTGTGGATGCCCTGGTGATTCGGACGACACCGAAGTGGAAGAGAACGTGGGGTTTGGGACTCTCTTGCTCGATTCTGACAGCGACGATTCCGTGGACCGAGGTATAGAGGAAGCCATTCAGGAGTACTTGAAAGCAAAAAGCAAAAGTGACCCGTCCTTGCAAAGGAATGCAGAGTGTTCTGAGAATATAAGCAGAGACAAAAGGTTTAAGAGAGAATTCTCCCAGAACAAAGTGGCTAGTAACCTTCTCCCTGTGAAATTTAAAGCTGAGATGCTCTCTGAAGAGTACCTGTCTGACCACCTGGGCATTGGTAAAAGGCTACAGCCTGCTTCCCCTCAGAGCATCAGCAGCGATGACTCTTTTGAACAGAGCATACAGGCTGAAATAGTGCAGTTCTTGAATGAGAAGAAGCAGCAAGAAATTAGTAAATGTGTAACTGGGGAGGATAAAAAAGATCCCCGTGTGAGATCTGTCCTGAAATGCAACAAAGAAACACCAAAACCCAACAGTGGTGCTATAAAGCGAGGTTGTAACGCGCTGCTCTTGAGGCACCACCCCAAGCTGCAGAAGACCAGCACGCAGTCCAAGTGTTTGCCGTCCAAAATCCAGGAAGAGCCTGGTGATTTCAGCCGAGTGAACCAAGCGTATCTGGAAATGGCCGCGGCCAGCCAGCCCTGGTTAGTGGAGCAAAAGGCGGAAAGCGGAGCTAATTACTGGGAGACGAGGGGAGCACTGCTGGACGAGAGCGTGCCCACGTCTGACTCGAGCAGCGATGATGGCATTGAAGAAGCCATTCAGCTTTATCAGCTGGAGAAAATCAGGAAAGAGGCAGGTCATGCGACAGACTGTGTCCCTTTGCAGCGGGAACAATTTGATGCAAAGGGAATGGCGGACATTTCCGCAAGCCTGACAATTAGCTCAACAAAAAGTGCCTCACAAGAAATCCCTAAAAGCCCTCTAAGCAACAAGAGGAAAGAAATCCATTCAAAGTCGACAGAGTTAGAAAGCACCAGCAGTGAATTTAACAAGCTGTTTAAACCACTGAAAAAACCCAGACATTTTGCACCTCCGGAAAACAAGCTTGCTGCTTGCGAGCTCACGTTGCAGGCCTCTTGCAGAGCCGACACATCTGCAGAACTCATGTGTGCGGAAGCTATCCTCGATATTTCCAAAACAATCATGCCGTCCCAAATGGGAAGCGACAACAGATCGCTCGCTGCGGACTCCTTCTTTTCTCCCCAGCTTCTGTCGTCCTCCCGTGGTGAAAGTGACAGCAGCCTCGTGGACAGCGATGATAGCATAGAGCAAGAAATCAGGGCTTTTTTGGCTCTGAAAGCACAGTCAGAGAATCTTGGAACAAAGCCTCCCGGGCTGTCGCACTCAATCCAGATGCCTTTGCCTTCTGATCAAAACAGCCTCGCCGGTACCCTTGAGCCTTCTCTTCCCAAAACACTGAAGCTATCACTGAGTCGTAAAAGGAGACTGAAAAGGGAAGGCAGCAGAGCGAAACAAGGTGCATCAAAACCACCGGAACAGCTGGAGACAGGACTTTTCCAGCCAGGTAACTATTCAAAATTTCCTGTGCTCCAAGAGGAGTGTGCCCCGAGCAGCCCTGCGGAACTCGGCGATGCTCAAAGGCTCAGTGGTAAAGAGACGAGGCAGCAGCAGCTGGTGTCTTCCAAGTTGTCTGGATCTGATGGCAAATCTGTGGCCTTGGACTCTGTAAACCCTTTTATGCAGGTTCAGAGTAGCACGAGAAAGCGTATGAAAAATACCATCCAAAGTCAAGAAAGGGATGGTTCGGATGATGAGAGCAGTTCTCTGGACAGTGATGAGGACCTTGACAGTGCTATCAAGGACCTCTTACGGTCTAAAAAAAAATTAAAGAAGTCATCCAAGGACCAGAAATCTCAGTGCAAGAAGAGAGTCAGGTTTAGCGAGACAGAAACTCGGCTGCTAGATGAATTTAGTAGCCTCCAACAAAACGAGTGGAAATGTAAAAATCCCGTGCTGCTGAAAAGCTGCCTCTCAAAACCTAGAAAGGCCGTGAAAGAGAATGCAGTCAGAAATCCTCCAGACAGCGTAAACGTCAAACTTGGCAATGAAAACCCAGAAACCATGAAGAACTTAGGGTTTAACTTGCAGCTTAAAAAAGGGTATAAACCTAAACCAATTCCAAACCAGAATAACCTGCAGGTAGCTAAAAATAAAAAACGTGCTTTCACAGCCGCGTCGGACGCTGATGACAGCAGTTCAGTGGACAGCGACGACAGCATCGAACAAGAAATTAGGAAGTTCTTGGCAGAAAAGGCTAAAGACTCCGCAAGCAGTTCAGAGATGCAGAAAGATGATGCAACTCTGGATCTGTTGAGAGCGACCAAACAGACTGCTAATAAAGGAAAAGCAAAGCCACAGCCCGTTGAAAGTGAGGTTGACCTCGTGCTGGGCCAGGGTAAAAAGACTGAGGTGTCTCAGCAAACGGGGGAGTTGAAGAACTCTGAGAGGACAGAAGGGAAAAGTGCAATGCTCCATGGCAGTGGGAAGTCGGCTTCCTCTGCAGAGAATGTTAGTCTTCACGCCACCGGTCAATCAAAAGCTAAGCAAGGAGTGGTGGAGGTTAAAGGTGGCGAGTTGTCTGGAAACACCACAGGTAAAAAGGATGTCGCTCATACAGAGCCTGTGCGGAAAATGCTTCCACTTAAAACCAGCAAAAATGAAGGTTGTCAAGTACGAAAAGTAATTAATGCAAAGTCTAGAGCAAAAAGAAAGAATACCTTTCACCTAAAGATCTCAAGTAAATTTATTGCAGGTCTCAAATACGCCCGGGACAGGAAGAAATCCATGCTGTTGAACAAAAGGCAGAAAGCAGAGCGTTTGCTCGCCCAGAGCAGTGCATTAGGCGCGGAGGGAGCTTCCCAGGGTACGGACGTGCCTAACCAGGGAAGAGGAGCCCCCTTGCCAAAAGGCAGATGTAGTGGGGAGAGTCCGACAGCTATAAAAGACGCCGATTCTCCCCAGAGGCTCGCTGTGGGAGCGTCGAGTCCCCACGTAGCAGAAACCTGCGAAAGGCTGGAGGCTGCTCCTTTGTCTATCGGAGGGGAAGCAGAGGGTTGCAGAAGGGCTAATGATTCAGGAGACCGGTCGGATTCGCCCTCGAGTCTCTCCTCACAGGAGCAGAGCGTGGCAGAAGTCCAAGGAGATAAGGTCTGCGGAGGAACACCCAAAGCCGAGAACACGCAGCTGTGGATCGAGGAAGGCGATACCCCCAAAGACACCTGGGCCGGTTCAGATTTAGACCCCCCGCCCCCTGAACGCGGTGTGGCCGCGGTGAGAGCAGATAAAGGTGGCAGAGAGACGCCTCAGCAGAGCCGTGCGTGCAGTAAGGGAGAGGATAACCAGCAGGACCAGAGGCCAGATCCGAGTTTAGGTTCCCCACTGCAGGAACGAAATGTGACAGCAATAACAGTGGATAAAACGGGTGGAGGAGCGTGCACGGGTAACAGGATGCACGTGTGCATTGAGGAGGAAAATGTTACGTGCCAGGACAGTGACAGGCAGGGAGAAATTGAGGTAGCCAGCTCCAGTTTGGAAGGAAAAATACCTGTCCTGCGGAGTAGGGAAACTGCTTGTGAAGTGGACCAAGGGCAGGAAGTGTTAGACGAAACCTGTGCAAAATTTACTGATGTACCTGCAGGGGACTGCTCAGATTCCCTCTCGAAAAGAAAGGTTTCAAATATGTAAGTAGACTTTTTTTTTTTTTAACAGTCTTTTCAGAAAATAATTGTAATTACCTTGCTAAAACTTGAGACATGAAAGGAGAGATGCTGATGTCTGTATATCATATACACACTAATGTGAAAAATGCTTCTATTTAACAGGAATATCATGGACATACATAGTTTTTGTAGAATTTTGTAAATTATTTAAAAGTGCTCTAAGGAAATATTTTTTATAATGATTTTTAGCGCTTGCATTACTACAGGGTGCTGTAGTTACTGTAGGTAAGAAGATGCTGGCTGATCACGCTTTAAGTTATGAGGCCTCTAACCATTTATCAAAAGGAAACCTGTTTGCACGCAGAATCTGTTCAGAGGCCCTGGGAAAGCCCAGCACGTGATGGCCGTGCTGTACTGGTGAAGCAGATTATCCGACATCTGCTCGTATTCGAGCTGCCTTAGGACAATCCGTGTCGCGGTGTTGTGTGGGGTCTCGGTTCTCCTACCCCAAGGACTGTTGGGCGAGCTCGGCCAGCAGAACTCCAGCGAAGCTGGCGCAGCTGTAGGTGCGGAGATCCACCCTGGAAGACAGAAATGCAAATTCAGGTAAATGAAGCGGATCGGTCTGTCGGCACGTCCCGTGTAAAGGGATCCCGGCAGCTGCTGAAAGGACCTTCTGAATCCCCGAAACCTCCCGCTCGCGGGGGGGTTCCCGGCACAGCTGCAGTCTGAGGGAAGCGAAGGAGCGTGTCCCCTCAGACCACGTGCTTGCTGTGGATTTCGCCAGGTTTACACACTGTTGGGCCTGAAAGAATTACACACTGTGAGGCTGAAAGAATTCCTCGTCCTTCGCCAGTCGCGTTTTGATGCCCTGCAATTCCCCAGCGATGGCTTTTGGTTTCCCGAATGAACCTTCTTGAATTGAGTGCACTTACTTTCCTTTTTCACAAGTGGTTTCTAAAACGTTAAATTTCTGTGAACTTCTATTTTCATTTACAGTTTGTGTGCAATAGAACAAAGCTAGGTTTGCTGTAGGAAGTCCCTGATGTAAACGCCAAGGATATTTTCAGCACTGTTCTTTCATACTGGTAGTGCTTTCTCTTGCCTCCGGTTCCAGCAGCCAGAATAAAGCAATTTTTCACTGCGATGTTTTTATTTGTACTGACTGTAAACGGGATCGAAGTAGCACGTTCATATCACCAAAAAAAGTGCCCCCACACTGGTTTCACTGAAAAATCCAAAAAAGTGTGAGTTTAAGGTGTCGGCTGGTTCTTTCCTCTTCATTTGTATGTAGTGAAGTCCTTGGAGTAGTTTGTTCTTACATCTTGTCCCTGTGAATTGATCCGTTAGTCTCTTTATCTAGTCTTCTTCAGAACTTCTCTCAGCCAAACTACCCCTCGGTATCGCTTCGTTTCTCGGTCACTCGGGCAGTCTTCCTGGAGGCTGGCCTGAACGCTGCGAAACGGAGCAAAAGCCGTCGAGAAAGGCTCCAGTATCGCATCGTATCCCCTGGTGTGGTCGCATTTGCAAGAATATTGGCAAACTACCGCATAGCATAGAGTAGGACAAGTAACTGTGGCATGTAGAGAAATAAATGACATCCTTTGTGTGTTTATACTGTTGTGCAGTTACATTTTAAACATGTTTGTAGTGGTCACTTGACATTTCTTACTGCCCGGCCACTTTTTTGTAGTCCTTGGGTGGGTTGGTTGGTTTGTTTAAAAGATCGGTGTGCTAGATCATCTCATTTTTGTGGTAGGATACCTTGGAAAAGTGTTTTTTACTTAGCTCACGTGCCTGCAGTCAGTCTACACAGGCGTATATTTTTGTCTGCCTTGATTCGGTTGCAGGATTTGGGCCTTTTGTTTGGAATAGGTAAATAGGCTGGTATTTTAAAATAGAAATTTTCAGAGTACCTTGCTTTAAAAGGATTAAACTGTACACTTAATTTTAACAGACGTGATGGAAGCACTGTGTACTGTTTGTATAAAATAAGCTGAATGTTTCTCCTCAGAAGTTTTCAGTAAATCAACATTAAGACTTAAAAGGTGTCTTGTGCCCCTGTCGATGTGTCTGTGTTCTCAGTACGACTCGAACTGTTTCGCTTTCAGTTACGATGCAATTCCGCTTCCCTTGTGCTTTAAATGAAACCTAATTTCAAACGGCACTTTTTTAAATTGATAAACTTGATTTGTATATAGGAAACGGTGTACATTGATAAGTTTATAATGTTTAATAAATGGGGTTCTGACCATGGACCGTGAAACCAGAGCGCTCCGATGGTTTGTGTCATCGTCTGTAGTGAGCAGTGTTCCTGCGTTGTCTTTTTTCCTGGCTGTGCTGCAAGGATGTCATTAACGTGTGCCGGGGGTGTCTGTGAGGGCAGGCTGCCACCCTTGCAGCTGCTCACAGCGTTTGTGTCCGCCAAACCTGGGAACAGGATCTCGCTTCACCTGCTGCTCTTGCTTCTTGCCTCCTGTTGTCTCCAGCCACCTGCTCTCCGGGACCGGGCTCTCCTGTGTGACACTAGCGTGTGATTTCCTCCTGACTGCAAAACAGAATCCAGAGCTTTAAGGATGTGGCTGTTTGAGGGAATGTTGTTCTTAATAACCAAAAAATGAAGGAGATCCCGACAAAGTACATAGGCAAAAAAAGTTGTGGGCGTTCTGGGAGGTGAGAGTGGCGCTTGTCGTTTTAGCAAAACCCTGACAGCAGTTTTCTTTCCTGGCGCTTGTGGTCGAGAAGTGGAGTCCTCCCATGTGCTCGTCCCTCTCCAGTAGTAGGGTTAGCAAAAGGGATTCCTTGTTCTTGAGGCCGGGTTTAGCAGGTGAGGTCTGTGATTCGCTTGGAAAGCCCTCAGTGTGTTTCTGAACAGCATCCCCTGTAGCAGAGCTCCTGCGGCCTCCAGGGTGAGCTCACGATCCTCTCTGCCCCCCTGTCGAAGGCTGGCGGTAGCCTGGGAGCCCCTGGTAGTGCAGAGATGGGGTGAAGGTGCTTTCCTGCCTACGGGGGACATGGTGACACCCAGCCCTGAGGTTCTAGGAGGCGAGGGGGCTCTGCGCCTGTCTTCAGGGTGGGAGGCAGGGAAGGAAGGAAGCCTGCTGTTTTCGGTGCGCAAACCAGCCTGTCGCCCTGGGCGTTGCTGTGCCCATATGGTACGGATGTTCCCTCCTACCTCTGAGTCCTCCCAGTCGTATTGGGTCTCAGCAAGTGGTTTTTCCAGTTTGTCCCATGGGAATTGCTGACTTGCCAAGGAGGAGCGAGCGCCCGCCCGCAGGGGATGGAACTAAATCGTGTGTCAGCCAACGTCTCCGGAGTTGGTGCCGCAGCCATGAGTGCCATGGCTCCGCGGGCAGCACCGGCGTTCTGGGTACAGATCTCCTCGCTTGTGCGAAAAAGAGAAGTCTGGTGTCTCGGAGCAGTAAGAAATCACTCTTACGCATTACGGGTTAAAGGTTGAACAGCTGAGGAGCAGAAAGATCGTAGTGAGTGAGAATAAATTCATGAGCAAGAGTCCCACGTGTATAGCGCCGCGTTTGGGACTGCGATACGGATGTCTTGAGGTCGAGCCTCCGTAGATGTGCTACCAAAAAAGTGGTTTTTTTCTTTTATTGATACTGATCATAACAGGCAGCCAGCCGCAGAGTAGGCACAGACTGTCCTCCCCTCCTGGCCCTTTTCAGTGCTCCAGTGACAGCTGAAAAGGCTCTGGTGAGCGCCCAGAACAACTCCTCTTGCCATTATTCCAGCCCTCCCGAGGCATTGACTTGATCCTTTATCTATTGCAGTAGGTACGTGCGTGGAACCATGAATTCAGGTCTACTCAAGCATGTAAAAAAATTACTTTTTTTTTCTTTTTTTAGATGAGTGATGGTTTATATTTGTTAAAAATTCACAATGATTTTCTTTTTGCAGTCAGAGCACAAAACTTGCTAATTTGGGTGTTAAGTTCTTAACTACTCAGTATATTTTACTATGGCTACTGGTAAGGTACAGCATCCTGATGGCACTACCAGAGTTCTCAGACAAGTCTGTGCTCGCTCAGGGCTCTGAAAATAGGTGTATTGTTTTATTTTTACCACAGTGACTATTTTTCTGCTCATCAGGAAGGGCAATCTTCAAGGATCCTCAGGGGGCCGCAAGGGCTACCTTAAATTTTCATAAACAGTTTTTCGCTGCTATTTTAGGAACGTGTACGTTTTGACGCGTAGCTGCTTTTTACACAGGGAAGGAACACGCCGTCTCTGCCACCGTTTCTTTTATTAATGTACATGCTTTTTAGTTTTCCAGACCTTTAAGAACTGCAGTTTGTCCTGGTTTGATAGTTCAGCCTCACATAATTTTACCTGCAGATGTGAAAATCATGCTTTCAAAATACAGAGTAGAAAGAGACTGTTTCAGGTAGATTCTCTGCGGTAAAGCGTGCCGTCTTTAGGATGGTGCGTTGAATTTGTACGGCATCTTGGGGTACCATCTATGTGAGGGTGATGTACACTGCGTGCAAAACTGTTCAAAGGAACTGGTTTCAGTTCAGGAATAAAACAAAAAGGGAGGAAATTAAGGCAAGGAAGAAAAGAGGTGGGTGGGTTTAGACAAAGTGTGAAAACAGGTGGAAAATACTTGACAAAACCCACCAAATTGGTATTTTTAAGAGGCAGTCTTATGCCTAAATTATTCCACCTACAGAAAAATCTGTGGATAAAAATATATGTGAAATTGTCACAACTGTTTATATTAATTCAGCGCTTTATGTTATTTTTTGTTTCAGGAGAAGAAAGGGAAGTTATGAGAAGCACAAGGTATTGTTTAGAGTCTGATAGAAGAATAACAGTAAATGACAGAGGGTTGCTTGTTTATTTTCGTATGTTAAATATTTAAAAAGTTGACTTTTCAGGTCCATTAGTCTGTTTACTTGTTCCAGTGTATTGGTGTGTTTCAGCAGAGGTGGATTTAGCGCCTGTTCCGCCTGGGAGACAACCGCGTGCAGGGCAGTGCAAACGGGAATTGTTTGGTGCGGTCGGCGTG